TTATTAGCTTCAGCCTCAAGATAGAAATCTCCCCAGACTGGACCCCAGTTCCCAAGCCAGCCAGCCACAACACTGTGAATTCCTTAGGGAGGTGCCAGCCTAATCTTCTTGAACCTCCCACGCTCCTGCTGGGGGCTAAGAACACGCTTATCTCCCTGAGCCTAGCCTTCATAAGTCCATTCCATCACAGATATAGGGTGGGAATCTCCCAAATCTGCTGGATTTTTTCTTTTCTTGGAGTGCGATGGACGTAGTGACAAACACCACGAGGTCTTCCACAGGACAGCACCATCCCTGAGCAGAGTGAGATGAGCCCCACGTCGGTTGTGTTAGGCCATGACGGAGATCCGCAAGTGTGACATGGTTCTGCCGCTGCCATGGGGGGCACGAAGGGGGAAATGCCATCCCAGGGCAACAAAGGCAGTTTTGGAAATAGCAATACAGCGCTGCACTGGGCTTCCACGGGTGGCCTATGCTCCCATGAGAGAGGATTCGTTCCTTGCCCTCCATCTCCCACCTCCTGGGTTTCCACTGTAGCAGGTCCAGAAAAGGTCCTCAGATGCAAAACTTCTGGTATGCCAGCACTGTGGGGGATTGGGAATACAACACAACTTGGCCACCAAGGCAGGAGTTTCAAGCAAGGCTACATGTTTCAGTGCATTTTATAATAATCAGTAATAGTAATTCCCTGGGCATTTTTATTTTCTCTTTTTTTGGAAAGGAGGGAAGTTTGTTTAGGAACAATGGGATGGGGTGGGATGGGGCAAGGCCACCTGAAATGATAGGAGGCAACACTGTCAACAGCTATTGAGAGTTGTCGGTGTTCAGTCATTCACCAGAGTGAGTAAATGCCGATTGGCTGTCAGTCCAGATTGTTGCGACGTTTGCACGCCTGGGTACCCGGAAGCACCTTTTTTTCCACCAAATCTGGACAGCTGCATGGCCCTGATATGTTCTGTTGGCGTCAGAGTAGCAGCTATTTCAAAAATTAAATAAATAACAAATCTGTAAGCATGGCTGGAGAGGATGTGTTCAAGATTTGCAATTCAAATGTGGAATGTTTTCCTCCAGACTGCCCATCGTCTGTCGGCCTCTCTGCGTTATTAAATGTTGCAGCTATGTAAAATACCAGCAAGTTGAATTAATCATCGCTGGGGGTGAAGCCCCCGTAGGAAATATGCAGTGAGCATTCTGCAAAGATTTGAACAGCTGGCAAATATTTGACATCAAAATTCTCAGAGGGCCATCATGAAGAGAATGTTTTTGGATGCAAATTTTCTTAGCTTCTGATTTAAGCACAGGTGGTTACCGATGGAAGGCTGTTTGGGTGAGAAAGTAAAGCATCCTTCGGTGATCATTGTTTGCAGCTCAGGAAGAATGAAAGAATGGGAGAGAGAGGTCACGCAATTGTCAGGTTTCTGCACTAGGTGGGCCTGAACAAAGAGCCTTATGGTTCTCATTTGCAGCTCGTGCACTGTTGTAATTAAAGAACACCATAAATTGCATTGTTCTGTCTCATGACTCAGAATATTGAGTATCACATTTGAATATCTGCAGGGAGAACCTGGATGATATATGTCACGTTTTCTTTTCTTGTCTGAATCACCGTGATAGTTGTGCTGTGTTATTTGCAGCTGTATCTTGAATGCAATTCCTTGCCCTTTCCTTTGGTAGATTTTGGGTGTTCAACTTCAAGAGAAACCCACACGACCAAATAAAAGGGGGTCTACCATCTTGATTTTTTGGACTCCCAGCAGATGCCACGGAGGCCTACCTTCCTGCCAGGTTCCCCATTTATCTGGTGAATTTTGCCCCTGTATGGCGTGAAGAATGCCTTCCATTTCTCTGCCTTGAATCCCGCTGCCTGAATTCTAACACTGCGAGAGAGGGCGAAATGCTCATCTCTTTCTACCCTTCCCAAACTCTGCAGGTCCAGCCTGGTGTTCAAATACCCACTGGACTGGCACTGGTGCATGGATAGTGAAGACACTGAATGGATCAGGGTCTGTTCCCAAGGAAAGAAGGCATATATTTGTGGGTGATAGTCTACTCTGTTTTCCATCCACTGGTCTTCTCCCAAGATGTTGGACCGAGAGAGGCTGCAATAAGTTAAGGTTAAGACTGGGGCTTCCAGGATCAGAGGCAGTATTTCACTGAGCCTCAGCGTCTGGGGAGAAAGAGTGACCCACATGTGTTTTGTCCCTCAGGCTAGGTCTGCCTCAACCCCAGCTGTGATGCCTCATCTGGATGTGATTGACCAGCCAGCTCCTCTGAGTTACTTCCCATGGACTCAGCCCATCCCAACCTTACCAGCATCTTCCCTGCAGTACCAGCCAGCTTCAACGGCCCTCCCTGCCCCCCAGTTTGTTCCCCTTCCCATTTCAGGGGCTGATCCGCTCCCCCAAGCACTGGAGGATACCAGGAAGGAGATGGGTCCTCTGACACTTGAGAAACTTCTTCTTCAGGATGAAACAAATGACACATATGATTTAAACAACAGCCTGCCAGTTGAAGGACTGTAGGACTGGATTTTTAGCCCAAAGGGATGGTGTTCAGATCCTCAGATCTCTGCAGTTCAAAGGGAATTCATCTCTTTCTCCTGTTCTTCCTTCCTTCTCTCTCCCTCTTTCACTGTAATTTCTATGTGACCCTCTGCTTCTCTTGCTTTTTCCAAAGTTTCAAAAAAGTGGGACGGAAACACCAGCATCTGTTTTGGAAAAGAAACAGCAACTTTGAGTGTCTCCCAACTTTGCAACCAGAACAAAGAGTGTGGCCTCCAGCACCCTTTTTGGGTGGGCTGCACAGACCCTTTTGACCCCAATGACCAAAAATTGGCAACCAAGTTCCTCCCCCATAATCATAACAATGAGGATAGCCAACATTTGAGGATGCCCTAAAATTAAAATTTAAGGGTCCCTTGACTCAAGGTTGAGTCCTGGTGATCCTGTACACATCTCCATTTTACTTCTTGGCAAAAAGATGAAAGGAGTTTGCCATTCTCTTCTTCCAATTTTTCCCCAGTCTAATCTAGAGATCTGATATCTCCTGGTGGCCTCCATCCAAGCATTAACCTGTTTAAAACAACTCAGCTTCCCCCAGCCCATCTGGCACCATGCAGTTTCATGGCCCTTCACCCCTTGATGTGCAGCTTCTTACTCCTGAAAGATCGTGCATCTCTCCTGCAGAGAGATTCCTTCTATCTCAGTGAGCTTGGAAAAAAAGAAGATCAATATAATTTGGGCAAAGCAGTTTGATGGCTCTAGTGCAATTTAAAAAGATCCTGGTGGGGGAATTTCTACAGCCCTGTAGGTTGGGCTTCAAGTTCTTGCAGGGGTAAAAGGCTGGAGGGGTCGATCTGAGGCAGATACTGCAGCCACAGCCCAGATTCAGTTTTCCACACCTCTCAGCCAAACTCCTGCTCAGCAATTAAGAAGCACTTTGCTTGGTTAGAGGTTATGGATTTCATGTCATGGATTTCAGCTCCTCCCCATGGAAATCCAACATAGCTCAGTTGAGGGAAGCTGGCTTACACTGTGGCAAATCCCCTTTGAATGATGGCATTTTTCTACCTTTGGAAAACAGATGGACAAAATAGATCTTGCCATTCTTATAGCTTCTTGGTTTTTTTTTTAAGTTTGAATCTTTGATATTTAGGTTTCAGGCCAGTAAGGAAGATACTGGGGGCCTTTTGTGTATGTGTGTGGATAAATATATCTATATTCACACGTGTAGGACGCATCAGTTAAGATCAGTAGGTCTGAGTTTCTATTGTTTTTGAAAATCTGGGCCTGTCTTTGCTTGGTGTTGAGGGAAAGACAAGTGCAGAATGGCTTTGGGAGAGGAAGGAAGGAGAAGGAAGGAGAAGGAGTAGAAGGAGGAGGACAAGGAGGAGAAGGAGAAGGAGAAGGAGAAGGAGAAGGAGAAGGAGAAGGAGAAGGAGAAGATCCTAGCATAGATGTGGCACAAAGGCTTTGTGACAAATGCACGTGTGCTGGTTTACAGCTAAAGATGTAAAAGGCAGACCTAATTAAGATGAGTTCAGATGGGGTGGAGCTTTGATTGCAGTCATGGCTGCCATCTTGACTTTTTTTAACCACACCCTGTGAACATCCCCAAGTTCAGAAGCTGATCTGGCCTGTATTTTTGCCTAGCAATTTGGTGGGACTGACATGTATTCTCAACTTGGGCAACTTGGCTATCTTCTGACTCCCTCACCCCTTGTGTATTTACAGAGTAGACCCCCTGCCACATACAGTTGGGGTAAGAGATGCCCCCATCTGCAGAATAATCTGAGCTCTCGGCTGCCAAATCTACCAGCTGCCCAGATACTAGCAGCTTCCTCCTAGTAGCTCTGCTCAGCTCTGTTTTACCACAACCCCTTCTTCAACCAGGCTAGGTGTCCAGTTCATGTAATCTTTTCTAGGAGAGTAAACTGGGCAGACGACCTTGCTCCCTTCCCCCAAAATACTAGATTAGCATTTCTGGCCCCATAAGTCCGGCTGGACCAGGCCGGTCTTGGTGGCAGTGGGAAGGTGGTGGTAGAGATGAGGGCTTGCAGTTAAGAAGAATCGCCAGTCTCCAGAGAGGCCCTTAGAAAGCCGATCCTGGTAGAGAAAGGGAAGCTTTCAGAGGGAGCGTCTTGGCCAACGGCGTTGCTTCATTTCCGAAAAGGCTGTTGACATTCCAAGCATTCATACTGTACAGTTTTTTTATCGTGTGTACAATACAACAGTCTGGGTACTAACTGTGTTTGCAAAAGCCGAGGGCCAACACGAGGAGAGTCGTAAAGAAAAGAAAGGCTTAAGATGCTTCCCACACCCTCGCTTCTTTGGAAGGGGGCTTGGATTTCAGCCCAGAGACATACAATTGGCTCTTTGTCTGCAGGGAGAAAATGAGCCACATTAAAGGCAGGCCTTGCCCTCATTTGTCAGTGAAAGAAACGTGGCACTGGAGGTGTGGAATGGCAGCCGTTGGAGCCACCCTGCAGAACCGAAGCCGAATGATCCGACGGGGCTGTGCACCCTTAACCCCGGACAGCTTCCATTTTTTGATGGCTGCTGCCCGGCGGGAGACCCACAACCCTCTACAAGCCAAGAGATGGGCAACAGTTCCCTCTTCATTTATTAAATTGTTCCCAGTTTATTACATTGTTGGAGGAGGAGATAAGAAAAAAGATGGGAAATATGAAAAAGCAATCGAAAGGATAGGACCATTCCATGCTGGAGGCTGACCTGGGAGAAGCTTACCCCGTTCCTCTGCGCTCTTCAACCCACTTTCTCCCATGCCTAGGATGTACTGAGTGGGTTTGCCCACATCCTGCTAAGCCACGATCTGTTTAACTATGGTTTGTTGCATTAACCATCCCTGGCTGGGCACATGCAACACACTGAGCCAGAAGTCACATTATGGGGTGGGGGGAGGTGAAGCCACATCACACATGAGGGTGGAGAGCAGATTTGGAGAAGGGGCATGGGGGGAAGTTCTTTGACTTAAACCATGATATCATACGCCTTTCTGGCAACCTGTACCTTGGGTGAGGTCACAATGCTAAGCAGGGTCCAGCCTGGTTGGTCCTGAGATGGGAGGCTCACAGGACATTCCATGGGTGTAGGCTACAGAGGGGTTGGGAAACTACCTTGGAAGAAGACAGTGGCCAAGCAGTTCCTTATTACTGCCAAGAAAACCACATGGGCACATCCATGGCATTGCCAGGACTGGCGCTGGCCCTGAGGCAGCAGGCTGGCCCCTCTTGAACCTGGCGAGAAGGGAAGAAGTTAATTTCTCACACCGGGCGTGCTTGGGCTATTGAACATGCGTGAGCACAGAGTGAAGGATTAGTCCATGGAAGGGCCATTTTCAAAGGCAGGAGGTCTGAATACTGGTGGTTGGAAAGCAATAGTAAGAGAGGACTTCTCAGAAGTAAGCCTGGGAAGTTAGCAAGGGTCAAATCCTACCTACCGTTGCATGTCAGCTATCCTATCCAGCTTTTGCCTTGGGTTCAACCGTGACCCAGCCACCGTTTTTGAAGATTTGTGCGGACTTTCACGTTCTGCAAATAATCATTCCTGCTGAAGACAAGCCAACACTCTGCCTTTAACTCCTGAGTAAATACCAACGCTAATCAGAGCAGGGCTCTAAAAAAAACAACTGGACTTAAAGTGTATAAATATTTACTGTATTCCACTGGACCTTGTGAGTCAAACAGGTAAGCAGTGTTAAGTGGGAGAGAGGTGAGCTGGGGAGGCAAAATATTAGAGCGGGGGGGGAACCCTAACAGGTTCCCCTTACCCAAGGGACATTTTATAAGAGATGAACGAAAATCTCCTACGGGCAAGGTTTTCTTCACTTTTGGAAAGGTTGGTCTGGCAAATATGCCCATCGGCATTTGCAGTCAGCCCTTGACCCCGAGGCCTCGGGCATGCGTGTGCTAGCCGTGACCTTGCTTAATATCAAGGGTGTCTGTGGATGGAGGTCATACATCATTCACCCCAGAGGTTTTTACTCTCTTTCTCGCTCTCTCTCACGCACACCCACCCACGTGCACGGACATTTTTCGAGTTATCTTTCTGGAGCCACAGCATGGGGCAATAGCTCATCTGTTAAAGCACATCTGTCTGCCAGCACTCCTGATAATCTTCATGGCTTTCTGCTTGCCCTGATAGAATCACCTGAAAATTGCGGTTTTATCTCGGCTGGACTCCCTGCAGCACTCTTCCCCCTCCAAGGAAAGTATATCTTTCGCTTTCCTCCTTCAAAGAGAAGGATTGGGGTCATTCCTGAAGCCACCTTTGACCTTCAGAGTATGCTCTGGGGCATTTCTCATCTGCGGACACTGTGGCTCCGTTCTCTTGCCACAAAGAGTGGCGCAGAAGGGCCGCACCGAGGTGTATTCCCATCACACAAATGGGGCTGGTTGAGCTTCCCTGTACTCACTTGGGTCTCCTTCGTAGCATTTGCAAACCAGGGATCAACCCTCCATGAACAGAGTCTCCTATCAAAGTTATGGTCCACATGCGGGTGGATGGCTGGAGATGGAAGGAGCAGAAACTTGAGGGTAACAATGCACAATGTCCTTCAAGATACGATTTGGGCTGGACAATCAGGCCCAAGTCTAGGGACCTGCAGCTCAAAGGGTTGCAAATTCAAGGCTATGTCCTTTTAAAAAAATAAAACAGCAGAGGTCACATCCCCTGGCCCCCATATCTGTTTAAATTAAAGGGGGTGGGGAAACAGGAAATACTAGATGGAAGGAATTGGAAGACAAAGGAATGGGTAGGTGAGGCCCTGTTGGCAGCTGGCGGTGGTGAGTGGAGCCCCCCAATTTTACCAATGTCTCTGATCACTGTTATGGGGAGCCCCCATCCATGGGTTACCTTCCTACGTTTTGCTGAGGCTTCTTCTCTCTGCTTTGCTGTCCCGAATGTATTCACGAAAGGCAGAACAGCTGCCCGCGTTTACAGTCGGGTGGCACCAGGAGCCATTGTCGGGGTCAGCCCTATCTGCAGCTGGGAAGGACCTTCTCCGTGTATCCCCCAATACGGCATCGCCGCATTCGTGGTGGAAGGAGGGTTTACAAGACTTCGCCTGGTCTGAATTAGGGGTCAAACTGGTGCTGCTCAGGGATGGGTGCGGGCAAACAAAAGACTCATAAAGATTATCTGTCTGTTAAGGTGTGGCCTGTAGGACAGCAGCTGGGGACTGCGGCTTTCACTCCCTCCGGGTGGGTTTAAAGGGTGGGTTGCAGGGGGCCCAACAGCCGGGGGTGCAAGTTGCAGAGAGAAGCGTGGGCTGTCCCCCAGCCGCTATGCTGGGGAGCAAATAACCTTATTAGGGAGCAGGGAGTCCTTTTAAAAAGAAAGGCAATTAACGCATCATTTCTTTGCCTTACTAGTTCAGGAGACTATTCCCCTGGCTGCGACCAGAAAAAAAATCTGTCCGCAACTTTCTTCGGAGAAGAAATTTGAGCAGCACTTCTTTTCCAGCCCCCGTGAGAGAGACCTTAGGCACTCACTCGACATTTGGCTCCCCAGGTGCTACTACAGAGCCTATGCAAATCAGTGTCCAGGGTAACAAGATGTGACCTAGCCGGGTAACAAAATGTTTGCAATTAAACAACCAAGCTCAGAGAACCCCAAGGACTCCATGGTTCAGTCCTGAGTTACCCATATTCGCTTCTGTTGGGACTGATTCGTCTGACACGTAGGAGACGTGCCTCTTAGCTGCTTTGCTTAGCCATGGTTTATGGCTAGAAACCACAATGGCATACCCCATGGTTGAGCATTAAACCATGGCTTACAAATCACAGAGGCTGGGTTGGTTACAAATCACGATGGGACTGGTTTCATTTTGTTGTACGAACTCCGTTTGCAAGCTCTGGTTTACAGCTGAGTATATTTGCATACTAACAGTGGCCTAATTGACTAGCCAGAGTTAAAGAAGTTATTGCTTGGGGCAATGTATGAACTCAGTCAGGTTTGCCTCTTTTGTGGCAAGCATTAGTCAATGTTTTCTGAGACTTTTCCATAAAAAGGTGGTTGCTCTCACTTTTGAATTTCAGTCTTTACACGTGAAGATTACTTTCCTTTCCACGTCCAAGGCTCAGTTAGCCTGACTGGTCAGAAACCTGGTCTCTGTATTTGTGCCATGTTAAACTTGGTTAGTTTCAACTCTGGTGAATCAGTAACTAGGTTCAGCAGGTTGTGTGAATGTAGACGGGAAGGTGAAGAGAGGCCAGTCCTGGGTCAGCCGAAATTGGCCGGGGAAAGGGTTCTTCTCTGCCTCTCCCTGAACCCGAGGCAAGTTCCAGGCTGGTTTCGCCTGAAGTCCACATAGCTTAAAGTTAGAAACACTGTTTTAAAGAAAGAATGGGGATTCTCCCATTCATTCTCCTAGAATGAATCTCCCTCCTCCTTTGGGGGAGAGGGGCGGCATATCAGTTTAATAACAACTAAAATAAATAAAAAAGTAGAGCATCCTCCTCCAGTCGACCTCTTCCATTATCCCTTGAACAGAGCCTTTGAGATAGATTCGGCCGAGAGAACCCAGAACCCCAAGGCCAGCTGCAGGAAAGCCCTTGATTTCTGACCTCCGCCGCCCTCCTCCACGGAAGCTGCTTTGAAGCTGCCTGAGATGGGACATTCCCAGGGGACCGCCCCCCACAACACCCTGCAACCCCCCTCCTCTCAAAACGAGTCCCCTTATGCCGCCCTTATATTTAAAATAGCCTGGTGTTGAGCATGGGATGGAGGCTATTTTAAAACCTGCTTCCTGCCAATCCAGAGAGTTCTGGGCTTCTGATGGTGAGTGCAAAACGAAGGGAGAAGCTGGCACAAGATCTGCCATGCATGGGTGGAAAAATGCCCCTCTGTGTCCTTTGGGCTGGGTGGGGCTGTTAGTGATTAATGGGAGGTAGCCGTATAGCCAGGTGATACCCAGGTAAGGTCAACTGCACAGCTCCCATTTGTTTCCAGCCCTTTTTTCCCCAACGTGCTATTTTTTTTGAGATCCTTTTCGTTAAAAAATAATTTTCATTGAAAGTTTTGGTAACCATAGTAAAAGAAAATACAGGCTAAACTCAAAATGAAGGGAAGGCAAAGAAAAAAGGGAATAAAATGGGTACAGAAAGAAAAAAGAAATAGAAGGGAGGTTCTGATCTTCATCACGGGTACAAAGTGCTGTTTTTGAGTTCCAAAGCCGTTCGCTGCAAAGCTTCAGATCAGGTTAAGCGAAGCAGTGCGGTACATCAGTTTTGGCTAAATTAAGTGTTTTGTGTGTGTGTGTGTGTGCGCACGCGCACGTGCAGATTTTTCTCCACCAGTGTGTAAGTCCCTGGCTGTGGATTATCATTCGACCATGACCTGACTTGCAGTTTCTCAGAACTGTTTTTTCCCTGTGCAAAAGAGGTTTTCGTTTTTCTGTCTGCAGGGTGGGGTTAAAAAAGTCCAAGAGGGGGGCCCCCATGGCACCCCTGAAGCTCTTTTTATGTGTGTCGCACATAAAAAACAGGTCCAGCTTTGATCACACCATCACAGCCACCCTCCTGGGCTTTTTTGACCACACCTTGCGGACATCCCTGCTGAAAAGCAAACTGTGTTTCCTGGAGCAGATTAAGAATAATTACAATTCAGCTATCTAAATAACAGTGAGCCCAAAGTGGAACAGATTTGTTCGCTGTGGCTTTGGCAATTAAAGATAAGCAGATGTTGGTTACAAATTAGGAAAAACTTCCTAATAATTAAAAGCTGTTCAACAATGGAAAAAGCATTGATCAGGGATGCTTCCATACAGTCTTATGGTTCTAGACAGATATCCTGTCAGAAGTATCCACGGGGAGGGGGCAAAGAAGTCAAAATGGTGGCCAGGCCATACAACTGAAGCCCTGCGCCTCTCTTACATGCAAGGCATGTCAAAAGGGGAATGGTCTGAACTGCAGAGTCACGACCACCGTCTTGAGTTCTTTGACACACGCGTGTGTGGCAGGCGAATTTGCACGCTGCATTGAAAGATCAAATAAAACACACACTTCTCCCCCACCAACTGGTTGACATTCATTTAATGGAATCTTAAAACATACACATTGATTGGTTGGGAGAAAAAAATGTTGTGATGTGGTTTCAAATATTGTGTGCATTGTTAAGGAAACCCGACAGAAAAAGCTACCAAAAGGTGAATTCAGCATAGATTATCATCCGTTCGCGGGAAAAATATACATACTCATTTGATCTGAGCGCAAGGATATACATGTTGCATTTATGAGAGTTATGAAGTCAGTCAAGCATTTCATTGGTAGGGGTATGCAAGCTTCCAGGTCTCACAGAATTCTTCAGTATGGAGGGTATGCAGTTTTCAGGGCTGGTGAATTTTAAGCATACAAATAGTCCACAGGTCTCTCTACAGGTAATAATTATGCCATTGTTGCCTTCACGCTCTGAAAACTTGCAGCAGTTACTTCTGGAGGCTTAACTTTGTAGAGCCAAAAAAAAAAAAATCACCTTTATTTATTTATTGCTTGATTGTTTCTTAAAGTGCATTCTTAGCCCTTAGAAGTGCGGAACTTATGTTCATTGACGGCATGGCAAAAACTGGAATGGAGAAAACAGTTGGATGAGATATTGGAAGGGGGGGGGGTTGGAGTGCCGCAGCCCAGCAAATTACAGGACACAAGAGGCAGTTTGCAAATATACTGAAGAGGTTGCAGAACTCAGCTTGTCTTGCGACAGAATTTGAATTCTTTCATGACAGACGTCAGTGGGGGAGGGGTAGATGGGTTGTTTTAGCCCAAACAATGGTTTAAAAGGATTTCCTCTCTTCTACTCAACCCAATGATGAATTCTGTGGATCTCTAAAGCTTGCATCCTGCACTTTCCATATCGGTTGACCTGAGGAAGGTATCATCTGGAGCGCCGGGCAACCAAAATGGCAACCTGAGTCGACAGTTCTCCTGCACTCACAACAGCAGACAGTCATTCCTTGGCTAACTGTAGCACACGTCCCAACTCCTATCCTTCCAGAAGTCATCTGCCACAGAGACCGAAGGCGCATAGTCTTTGCAATCCACGGTCGCGTAGGGGAAATATTCTGGGGCTCTGCAAGTGTCCAAGTGCTGGGAGCCACAAGGGGTGCAGTAGCACGTCGATAGGCCGGAGGTGTGTTGGACGTGGGTGTGCTGCTGGCAGGAGCGTTCCTCTGGGGACGGATACAGGCAGCTCTTGCCATCCAGAGGTGGGGAGCCGTAGCCGAGCGGGGCAGAAGGAAGCATCTGGGACAGGGAGTAACTGTAATCGAAGGAGCTGGTGGGATCAGGAGCTTCCGGGGATCCAGAACCCTGAAACAAGAAAACAAGGATGAAGTGCTCACTCTTCGGCGTGCGAATTTCAGTCTGAATTCATGGGATAGCCTTAGGCCTGCTTGCTCAGAAGTAAGCTGCACTGTGTCCAGTGGGGCTTACACTCAAGTAAGAGTGCACCCAGGTGGTGTTAATCAGCTAAAACAAGAGAGCACAATCTGAGTCCCAAGACAGCAATTGTCCTCAAGCAAACTGGACCGGTTTGCAAAGATGAAACGAGAGACACAGAAATGGACCGATTTGCTCTCCCCACCAGCCAAGTGACTGCCTGCCGACTCCCTCAACTGCAAGGCTGCATCAACTCTCCCCAGTGTTTTATAGTCCTGGCATCTGGCCCCTCTGCCCTTGCACCAAAGCAGGCCTTTCCTCGAGGGACCAGGCACTACCCTGGATTTGGAAACCCTCCCCTCTGGGGGTCCAGATCTATAGAAACAGAAACTCAGGTACCAGGCAGGTGAGGGATGGCTGGAAGCTCTCAGGCGAGCAAGGCAGGTGGTCCTGTACCAGGGCCAAGGGGACCTCCAGAGGTGGCTCAGCCTGAAGACAAGAATCCACCAGCTGATCCAGATAATTGGGAATTTCCTCACAGGAAGCACCGTTCTGGAACTGCCAAGGTTGTAAACAGCTGGACAAGGAAGATTCTGCATCTACGTAAGGAACTAAGAGAAGGAAAACCAGGTGTGGGATTTCCAGAAACCCTTTTGGTACCAAAGCCATCTCTGCTGTGAGATAGATGCTGGAAGAAGCTTAACCTGGTAAATAGCAACTCTCCAGGAAAAATTAGCATAACAAAAATTTGCATTAAAATATGCATGTCAAAATAGTTTTCTGTATGTCAGGGAGCCATTGAAGGCACAGAAGCAAGGTTTGGGGATCCTATGAGCCAACATCCCCCTACCCCAAATTTTATTCAAACTCTGTTTTCCCTTCCTATTTCTATTTGCTTAAAAAAATCAATTTCCCCCTTCCCCCCAAATTCCTCCAAAGAGCTCAGAACTGAGCACTGCTGCTTCTTCACGCAACCATCCATTTTCGCTTGCTTGGCGTTTCTTCATCTTTTGGTGGCCTGAAGGACTGGGGGGGAATAAATGCCAGCATATCTGCCGCTAAAACCCTGTTACATCCTGGAGACTTTTGTGGGCCCAGAAGGAACTGATACAAGATAAGAAAAGATTAATTCCTTCTGGATTTCTGGAGGAAAGAGAGAAGGAGAGAGAAGAACAGCTGGGGGAAAAAAAGCAAGCTTGGCTGGCTGGAATCATACTGGCCAAAAAATAAGTTAGCTTAAGCAAGAGGAGGAAAAGGAAATGAATGCACCAGGTCTGCTGACTGCCTCTCAATCCATTCCGGAAAGAGAACGCAGCAAACGGAGCTGGAAAAACTTTCCCTTTTTTCTTTTAAAGCTTGTTAGCTCCCACCAACCCTACCCACCCTGTCTGGATCCTCATCTGCATTCAGCGCGCTCCTGCCCACTGCGGATTGCCCATCTTCATCCTGAACTGCCTTGTGCCCAACTGGAAGCCAAGACCCAAGAAGAAATGGCTGGGAATAGGTGTAGAAAGCTCAGAAAAGAAGGAGGTGTGTGCCTGTGTGTGTTTGTGTGCCTGTGTGGGTGTTGGGGAGAGGAGAATGGTGCTGTTTTGTACCAACCTGCACAGGGAGGGGAAAGAGACTCACTGCCCTGGACGTTTCCACTGCATTCTCCGAAAACCTGAGAATAAAAAGGAACAGAGCAAAACAAATCTGGGGGTGTTTCTCCAATAATAAAACACGGAAGGACTCGCTGCCCCCACCCCCTTCCTTCACCCCTTACATGACAGAGGTAAGTCCAGCATTTCTCTCCAAAATGGAGAAAGCTGATGAGATGCTGTAGGGCAGCATAACTAGGGCTCTTATTCAGAGCCATTCCTTTCTGGGGTGTCCTTAACATGTGTTGTAAAACTGCAAGGAAGGCAGGAAAGCAGGGAGGGAAGGAAGGAGGGAGGAAGGAAGGAGGGAAGGAGGGGAAGGGAAGGGGAAGGGGAAAGGGAAAGGGAAGGGAAAGGGAAAGGGAAAGGGAAGAAAGGAAAAAGCAGGGGAAGGGAGGGAGGGAGGAGATGGAAAGGGAAAAAAGAAAGAAAGAAAAAATTATTGTTTGCAGATAGATTCTTTAGAACTGATCACCCTCCTCTGGTCACTCCTTTTGTTAGCAGCTGCTTTTACATGAGATGCAACAACCAACAGAAGTTGCAAACTCCAGAAAAATTTGAAACAAGTGCAAGAGCCTTCTGCTCAGGAAACACAAGGGGTAATTTTCAAGAAGCAGAGCAAAATGTTTCTGCATCTATCACCAGGTTATCCACTCAGGCAACATTCAAAATTGAGTTGAGTTCTCTTCTGGGGTGAACACCTCAAAGAATTCTGAAGGAAGCTCCTTCTAGTTAGGGAGAAAGTAAGTGGAAACCTTCAGAAAGTTTTATGCCATCCTAAAGCAGCGGTTCTCAAGCATTTTGGTCTCAGGACCCCTTGACATTCGTAAAAACGATTGAGGACCCCAAAGAGCTTTTACATGGGTTATATCTAGCAATATGTATTGTATTAGAAATTAAAACTGAGAAATTTTAAAATAGTTATCTATTTGACTTTGCAGACCCCCCCCCAAGGATCTTGGAGACCCCCAGGGGTCCCCAGACCACACTTTAACCACTGTCCTAAAGGAATGACCCATTTGACATTTTAAAGAAGAACACAACATGGTTGTTTTGATACCTGTACTGAAACATTTAAAATGTGCTTGAAAACAAACAATTAAGTTTGCGTGGGAGTTTTTAAAGAATGAAAAGAGTGACACTGTAATAATAACAAGAGAACAGATACAACATCAGGCCATTCTCAGAAGCAAATGAAACTGAAAAAGATCTTCTCAATACCATATGGGAGAAGAGGAAACAGGTAGGAAGTTGAGAGAAACAGCTTCTCACAAATGCTAGAAAAGTGCTGTGCTTTAAGTTCACTGCAAGAAGTAAAGACTCGTTCAAAAAGATCAAGCTTTGTATTCTGTTCCAGGAAGCATTCAAAGTTTTAACAGAACCCTGCTTTTTAACCCCACTTTGCTCACAGGCTTCTGCAGGCTCTCCCACGTGGGCTGGGTTCCCCAATCACCCCAAGCCACCTGTGAATCCAGCAGCTGTGGTTTTAAAATCATAGTTTATGCTGTACCATGTTGTGTGAACCTGCCAATTCTGGCTTAGTCAAGAGACACAGGCTCAGGAAACCAAAGGGTAGTGCGGTGCGTGAACCCAGCCAAACCTTGGGTTTTCCAGCTGCTTCTCGGAACTTTTCTTGCAGCAAAACTGTTGTGAAGAAGAGAAAACTGGAATGGCTTTTGATCACGCCAGGAGCCCCTCGCCTTGAAGCACCCCAGAAGTTACTCTTGAAATGCTTGTAGTGCACCTTGCAAGAACGTTCTCCTTGTGCTTTACAGCTCCTGTCCTTGCTGGGGCCAAAGCAGAAAATGACGCACCTACAGATCTCTCTGACTGTTCTCCAGTGAAGACATACAGAGTCAGGAACCTTCCAAGGTTGTGAGCAGGTGAGGAGGAGATTAGAGGAGACAAGATCCCTGTCCGGGGCAGGGGGTGGCACTAGATCAGCGTTTTTCAAACTTGGCCACTTTAGGATGGGTGGACTTCAACTCCCAGAATTCCCCAGCCAGCGTGCTGTCTCCTACGAAGGCAGAACTAACTTGGTTCATATGTCATGCAAGGTTTTGAACCATCCACCAGTTCAAAGGCCATGCTGGAGTCTGCTTGGATTAGCGAGGACCCATCTTAGGAGGGGCTTTGGGGAGCTTTAAGGAGTGAAATGGGCATTGTAAGCATCTGCAAGGCTTATGAAGATTTTGTCCACACCCTAAAAAAATCTCACCTCTGAGGCCACTAAATGGGTCCTGGCATGCCACACGATCCCTGAGTTGAATGCTTTGAATTCCTCGGTTAAATCAGTGTTTGCTTAACAGTGGCTTGAATAAGTCAGTCCATTGCACCAAGCCCATTGCACCGTGGCTTACAAATTGCAAGGGCTCAGTTCACACAACATGCTAAGATAAAACTGGTCACAAACTACATAAATATTTAGTGCAATATGAGAATCCAGTCCCTGAAATGGATCTGTTTAGGGAAGTGTTTACTAGACTGCCATTCTCAAAGAGAAAACACAGGCTCATAGATGCTGCAAAGAATAGCAATTTTCTTCCAGAAAGGGAAGAACAAGCAGAGAAGGGATTAATGCAAGAGGAGTAACTGTAATTTGAGAATGAAATGGAAATAATCTTAATTACCTGGAAAAAAGTCCTGAGGATGCAAACATATCCTGCAACTGATTTCTATTTCAGTTTCAGCACATGCAAAATAATTAAGTTGGCTTGAAATCTTGCTCTTAAGCAGAAACTCTAAACCTAGCTTTCATCTCTTCCTCTCTCTATATATATTTAAATTCACGTTTTCAGTGTTTGCCTTTTAATTGCCTTTAAACATCTGCAGGTCACATGACATGTAGAAGCACTCTCCCCCCCCCCAACTTTTTGAACATTCATTGACTCAGAGAAGGGGAAAAGTGCCCTTGGGGGGGCCTGCCTTCTCCCCTCAAAGCATCCATAGGTCTGCTCGGACAGGGCTGCAAAAGCTTCAGGTTAGAGAAAAAGCAACAGCTGAGTTCTCATGGCCCAGCCAAATTCACTTGAACCCGAGGATTGGTCACATCCTGATGGCCGGGTTCAGCTCCCAGCCCAAGGAGTCTCCGGTGAGCACTGTATCCATCCTGTTGAGCCATCTTTTTAAGCAAGCATCATCCTCAAGGCTTACCTCTGAAGGGAGAGGGAATTACTCTTCTGCTGTCAAGCAGAAGCCAGACTGAGCCAACAGCTTTCTTTCACGTACCAAGCGGACTCAGAGCCGTGGCAGCTGTGGGCCTTCTGCCCTGCCTCAATCTTCCTTCTCTTGCAGACCACGTCCATATCCGTGGTTTGGGATGATCCATGGGATGGTGGTGGCCATTATTGTCCAAATATTAGCACCTGACCTTGGTGACCTCATAAAAGTCTTAGCAGGGTTAGTTAAAACTTGAGTGGGGGACCATCCCATTTGGGAACTCTTGAGCTGTGGGTAGGCTTGGAAGTCAGACAAAACATTCTGGAAGAGGGCAACAGTAAAATCACTTCCACCTTGGTGCCAAGGAAACGACATGGACGTCTCCATAAAGCCATCAGCCCAATTTGAGGGAGACTTTACCCTATTTTATTTGTACCCAATGAGGGTTATTTTCTGGGTTTGTTACAAGGCCCAGCAATGCTGATTCCATCAAGAAAGGATGCGGCACCAAAGGATTTTGATGTCCCAGAACTAAGTTCCAGGGATTTAGTTCATTCTCTCCTTCAGGTTCACCCTGCATTTCACCTCACTGGATTTTTCTACCTTCGGCAGCCAAAAGTTCCATTTCGCACATGGACTCAGCTGTGGTCCTCTGAACTACAGTTCACTGAATGGGCTGGGAGCAGTGCAATACACTGAGTCATCCAGGGCTGGGTTCCCGCAAGATGGAAAGCCTCATCTTACAAGGAACCCTGCCAAAGTGTGAATGCAACCTCCGTGGCGCGACCCACCCACTGTTTGTGACCAATCCAGAGGAAGGGAAGGGCAGCAGTTCACACACTGTGGATTCAAAAGGGTGAGTCCTCCACAACCCCCGAGTAGAGCAAGGCACAAAGGACCTTTTGAAATTCTCCGAATGAGGTGATGAGCAAAGAAATGTAACTGGATTTCTCTGGCAGGAGAACAAAACTCTACAGCCGAGCCCCATGGGCTGGACTTTCCCCCTTAGCGGTGAGAGCAGCAGTGATGAACAGCAGGCAGGTTCTCCTGGGATCTCCCTTGGGGGTTTAAGAGGACCACGGAAAGCCAGGGGGAGGCTGCAGATCTCAGGGGAGAGATATACTCTGCAACCCCCCTTGGCCAGATCCACCAGGAGAACCTCTCCAGCCGTCGGTTCTCTGTCAAGGGAAAGCTGAAAGCAAATTCTCGTGCATCAAATTGCGGGAGAATTGGGAGAAACCCAAGGCAGACCATTGAGGTGCCTATCATTGGGGGCTTGTTAAAGGGAGGCTTGGTGAAGCACTGGGGCTGAAAAGGATTTGTTCTTGGAGCCCATCTACTGGAAGCTGAAGAAATGATTGGGGGGGAAATTGCATTCCCTTGATATCCACCAAAGAATTGACTTGAAGTGTGGTGGGAGATGATTTATTGCAAATGGCTCGTTGAGTGTCTGAACCTTCAAAGAGTTTTAAAAAGATGCTTACAGCCTCAGCCACGGCAGCCTGTTTGGCTCTCCTCTGCTGTAGAAGCTCCTTCACTGTCATCTTGACTCGGACACCTTGGTAGATCTTCGCCTTCCCTGAAGGGAGAGAATGAAAAAGGTCTTTGGGCAGAGACGGGACACTCAAGGCCACCGTGGCCAGGGTTAGGCTTCAGAACTGGTTGGACCTCGCGGCACTCTTCTAAGCACAACATGTAAAGTGCTGCCGCGGCCAGTTGTGGCTTCTTGAAAGCCACTTCTGGTTAGAAGAAGCTATGGGTGAGCACAGTGTTTGATGACCAAGGGGTCAACATCTTCTGGCTTTGATCTGGCTTGCACATTAGCCAGAGTTTATTAAATAAACCACCCTTGGCAAGCTTCATCCATTACAATAAATGAGTGTTTTTCAAACTTGGCCACTTTAAGATGGGTGGACTTCAACTCCCAGAATTCCCCAGCCAGCTGGAGGTGAAGTCCACCCATCTTAAAGTGGCCAAGTTTGAAAAACACTGCATTAAACCATACACTGGAATTTGCAAACTGCATTGTCTTGGTTTAAGATTAGGGCTTAGAGCCCTCTGTGCAAAGGTCCTCTTCA